CACCTGTGTCACGAGGGACATCCTGTGGACATGAATGTTCTCGATAGTAGGAAGATCTGAAACACGACCTTTGCCCTTGTCCGTCTTCTTCCTTTGCTTTTGGTACCGGTGGTGGAATGCTTTAGACTCATTCCGATACGAACGGAGGCTGGATAGTAGGTCTTCACCCCGTTTTTGCGGATGCACAATCAAGTACCTCTCCAGACGGGCTAATAGATCTGAGCTGCAGATTAGATCTGAAAGTATTGTGGGCTCTCTTTTTGCCGTTGGGGTGCCCACCCCTGCGCTCGCTTTTAAGCTGAACAATTGATCCAGAAGCAACGATAAGTTCGGCTTGACGCCTTTCAACAAAGAGGTCAAGCCAACGTAGACATTCGCTACAAGAACCTTGCGAAAATCGACTCTCTTTTCGGACTGGTACGCATCAGAGAGAGTATCTATGAAGTCAGAACCCGCCATGAGCACTTGGCCGCAAGGAGGAAGTGCGGAAGACAACATCGTCAACAAGCGGATGTCAGACGTTACTTCCAAATTCCCCGATGGACTCGGTACTGAGAGTCGCTTGATAACTAAGGACTTCGCTTTCTCGAGACTTGATGTCATGGCCTCATGGTGTCTATCCCATGCTTCGGACAACAACCTCTTCAAAGCTGAGCTTGACGGGTAACAACAGCACATAGCACCGAGAACATTCCATTCTAGCACTTCAGAAGGCGAAGTAGGCGCGTCTAATAGAAGTCTCCTTGTCAACAAGAAACAACACTTCTTTAATGTTCGTGTCTTCGGCCCCGTCCGCAGCTCAGACACATTCGTCGTGGCGAGCTGTTGATAGAAGGAAGATAAAAAGCCGCTTGTGGAGTCATCTTTGGCGACGGCTTCCTTAAATACTGAATCAGAAGCTTCGATGCGTATCCCTAGGAGTAGAATCCATGCATCCAGAAATGATTCCCATTCTTCATGTGATATGCTCCTCTGTACTGCGGGCGGCGGGACTGGTGCGAGAGGTGGCAATTTTTCCATGATAGTGCCGCTCAAATATGTGCGTCAAGATAAAAGCAACAAGATAAGAAAGAGCTCAGATTAACGAGGAGACATCAAATCTAATCATCACAATCATCAACGGCCGTGGCATAACCTGTCGTCATAATCTCCTTTTCCTAATACGGTTTCCGATGATGATGACAGATCGGATACTGAGTCGTTTTCCCAACTAGGACTAGTTCAAGATAACCGAGTGCCAAGACAATCCGCCCGCACAAGAGACGCTAAAGACACGATCAAAAAAAAAGGATTCATACATCTGTCGCATTCACGATAGCTCTTCAACGGCCATCATCACCTTACCGAACCTCGAAGTTCAGGTCTTGATTGGCAACTAGCCTCATATAGGTATGACTTTTCTACCGCATCTGTCTGGTTTTCCTTGAACAAGGACTAATTGAATTGTGTTCGATAGCCATCTCGTCAATCCCGGTCAACCCACCGCACAATCAGCAAGATGTCTTTCCAGAAGCCTGAGAAGGAGTTCGGCGAGGGCCCCGTACGTTCCAATTTTCTTGATTTCCGAGTTTACGGACTCAGAGAAGACAAGCCACAGTTGCGCATAACTAACCAATTCTTTTCCCGCGATTATAGAAGGTCCACAAGATCCGTATCACCCTCACCTCTCGCAAGGTCGCCTCCCTCGAGAAGGTGTGCTCTGAGCTGATCGAACGTGCCCGCTCCAAGTCCCTCCAGGTCAAGGGCCCTGTCCGTCTCCCTACCAAGACCCTCCACATCTCCACCCGTAAGACCCCTTGCGGTGAGGGTTCCAAGACCTGGGACAAGTACGAGATGCGCATCCACAAGCGTCTCATCGAGTAAGCTCCCCCTCTTATCCTTAGGATCGATCATCAGACAGCTAACGAGGGCGATAGCCTCCTTGCCCCCACCGAGACCGTCAAGCAGATCATCATCAACATCGAGGCTGGTGTTGAGGTTGAGGTTACCATTGCCGCCTAGATGTTTTCAAACTAGTTGGGATCAGGGAGGGTTTGGTGTCAACTCTTAACTGGGATGGCACTAGCGCTGTGCTCGTTGGGCCGTTGAGTGGATTGTTATCTTCACGCCGAAAGGCTTCTACCGAGGCAACGTTGATACCCGTCAAAACCTGGAATCAAAAATGGGAAAGATTGCAAAACCAAGAGGTTTCATCCGTTTAATTGATTATACTGTCCTCGTAGTCCAGCCAAACGTAATAAAAAAAATCTAGTCTTCGCGTCCGAGCCCAATGAACCAGAAGCGTCGCTCAACTCATAGCTTAAACCCATAGCGAAAGTACGTGTAGTGCGATCGTTAAGATAATCATATAATACATGAACGGTGCATATGTGCATCGCTCCATAATAAAAAAGTCCACCAATAAATGTGATCAAAAATCGAAGCTCACCCACTCCGATTTGGGAGGCACGCTGGGTATAACGCCGTCTTTGAAGTAGCCATTCTTCAAGAAAAACTCATATTGCTCGGTGACTTCCGGCGTGTATTCTTCCGGTTTGCCGTGCGCATCTCTCAGGCTCGCTTGATCAGGCGGTCCATCCGGAAAAAAGATGCGAACATAGGTCTGACGGTCTTGAGGATGAAGATAGCAAGGGGCGTTGTCAATGTACTTCACCGGTTGACCCTTCCACATTGATAGTCTCTGCGTCATGGGGTCCTTAACCGTCTGCCCACTTAGGGGTGGAATCGGGTTCAACTCATTCGGATCATCAATCTTGATCGCTGGGGGAGGGCCGGTGCCTGCGATCGGTATAGGAGCAGGGGATGCGGTGGTAGGAGCCGTTTGAGCTGCTTGACCGAAACCTCCAGCAGGTTGACTAAAAGGTGTCGGAGCTGCCTGTTGAGCCGCACCTCCAAAGGGGCTTGGGGCGGCACTGGGTTGGCCAAAAGGAGCTGACGATGCTTGAGGCTGTCCGAATGGCGAAGGCGCCTGTACGGGCTGGCCAAAAGGCGTTGCTGACGTTTGTGTCGTTGTCGAAGGTTGACCAAATCCAGGAGTCGCCGCCGGCTGTTGGCCACCAGCAGCTAGTGCAAAAGGGGAGGTAGTCGCTACCCCAGCAGCCTGAGCAAACCCGCCGCCCTGGCCCTGGCTTTGACTCGATATCTGACTAAACGGAGATGTGGTACTTGGCTGACCGAATGCTCCTGTCCCTGTTTCTGGCGCTGCCGGCTGGCCAAATGCCGGCTGGCCAAAGCCTGGCTGACCGAATGCAGGTTTGCCGAATGCCGGTTGCCCACTCAGCGCTGAAGGCTTTCCAAACGCGGAACCTTGACCCAAGGCACTGGGTTGTCCAAAGCCAGGCGTTTGCCCTAGAGTAGAAGGTTGACCGAAGGCCGATGGTTGCCCGAATCCAGCCGGCTTGCCAAATGCTGAGGCTCCCCCACCGCCTAATGCCGAAGGTTGGCCAAAGGCAGCTGTTTGTGCCACGGCAGCCGGTTGACCGAATGGTGATGGTTGACCAAACGGGGAAGGACCCTGACCAGCAGCAGGGCCTGCCTTCCCCTCCGTAATGTCGATCCGATTCGGATGTTCGTTGATTCCGTCGAGAATGTACTTGATAGCGCCATTAACATCAATCAAAGCAGCCTCCATCTGCTTTACCGACTCTGCATACAAAGCTTGAGCTTCTTGGACAGCGACCTCGACTTTTCCTGCTGCCGCAGCCTCGTAATGTCGCAATCGTAGTTCTTCAAAGCTCTGCTCTCGCTGAGGGCCACCGAACAGCTGCCTCGGGGCGTTTCGGCCTGGTCCATAGGCAGAGAATATCCATTCTGGCAGTCCTTTACCAGCAGTCAAATCGACTTTGATATCCTCTGCAGTAATACCATAGCTGGGATGCTGTTAGACAGATTGGCGTGGCTGATCGCAGAGTTTATACTTACTTGACAGGTTGCTGAGCTTGAGGCGCAGCACGACCTTTGCTTACCATTAGCATGACGCGAGAACATCGCGAGAGAGATGTCACATAGAACAGGAGGACGAGAGATGGAATGGCAGACTAATAAGAAATTGCAGGAACATAGGCAGGCGCAGACTTCGACCGAGAGACGAAGAGGGTGACAGGAACACTCAGATGGATGCAGATCATAGAATGACAGTAGAGCCACTGCCGATCACAGGAACACTATAATAACAACTTGCTTGTCCAGTACGTAAATGGAATTAAAAATATGCATACCTCCGAAACCTCCTCCGCCAGCGAGGGCTCCAAACCGATTGCTAGACCCTACTGTCTGCTGGCCAGGATGTTCAAACTTGCATCGCTCTGTGACAACGATCAGCAAGCCTTTCTCCAGATAGATATATGAATCAGCTAAATACCTCCAAATCTACATCTGCCTTGCTGAAAGAAAGTACAGACAACCATGATGTTTCTTTTGTCGGATCGCGCCAAGTGATCGCGGAAGAGCAACGCCAGTAGGAAACTGTGCCCTTGATGGATGTAGATTGAATGTCAGTCCTGCAGATCACTCCATCGAATTCATCACGCTCGACGGTATATGTATCGTGACTATTGACAAGAAGGGGATTAATTGAGATGAAGATGGAAGCTCTGTTGAGATGCAGATAATCTTTGTTGGAGAGGAAGATAGCATTTACTCCCGGTGACAATACATTTCACCGATCCGAAGTCTTTCCCAAGAAGAAAGGGCAAGTATGAATCCGGCACCTTAAAAGTCACTACTAAATAGACCTTAATCTACTGTATTCCCTGACAATGACCGTTGACGATGAATTTGAGGAGTAATTGACAATGGCCTCACCAGTCTACTGAGGTATCATTCTGTCCAAATTCCGTAACTTTGCTTATGGCTGGCCCTTCTACTAGTTTGGTATCACTGTATCTACTTTTATTGGCAAGGTAAAAAAAAAAAGAAAGAAAGAAAAAAGCCAAATCACTCTGAACTCCTGTAACAGAAAGCACCTTTGCGTGAGCTCTTTTTCATGCCGTTCTGTCCCATCAAGGGTGACCGCCAGCGCTGGGAACCGATGTGTGAGTGTTTTTTACGCTCTGTCTGAGGGCATCCCAGTTCAGTCCATCGATCTTCTTTCCGCCCAGCGACTCTAGTTCTGTAGAGAGTGCGTCCAATTTCCCAGTTGCAAATCGTCGCATCATTGCCGTGTCCTTCGCACCGTGCAGTGTCTTTGCGCGTCCGCGAAGCAGCGCTTCTTCAAACCACTCTTCTTCCGTGTTGTCCAACGGAAGACTGATCAATTCCATGGCTCTTTGGCTTCGCACCTGACCCGGACTGGTTTTATGAACAAATTCGATGAGTTGTTCAAGATAAGCGCGGCGGAGGGACTCGTCCCGCTTCCTTGTGAAATAGAACGCTTCTGTTATGCTGGAACGGCAAAGTATGTCGAAAAAGGCTTTCTGTACTTTCTCGGACGCCAACGGCGGGGTCACGGTAAGATAATAGGCCATAGCAAGATGGTCATCGTGCTTTGGGAGTTGCGGAAGGGTCAGGACATAAAGGATCTCGTCGGGGAAGGTGGGGATGATTGAAGGCTCAGTTAGATATTCTATCGCTCGCTATAAATGCGTCCCTTCGTCAGAAATGTTGAGGTAGGTGCACTGTACGCGTGGGCATACCCTCAATTCTAACCTATCCAGGTTCCAGAGGCCTTCAATGAACAATCTGTACTTCTCTGGCAGGTGGCATCGGCGCGCAAACTGGGAAGCGGCATCGCCCGCTGCACGACAGTCCTTCAGGATGTAGTAGATCAATGCTTGCTTGTGATGGATGTCCAGCGCGGATGAGACAATGTGATTAACGAGCGTGCGAAGGTCCGCATTCGATCTTGGAGGGTAAAGTTGTTTTACTAGCAGATTATGGTCGTCAGCATATGCCTCTCCTCGTGCTCGCAATTACGGAGCGAATTGCCTACCAGCTTGGACACCGAGCAATCCCAAGAGTCGGTCGGCAAACAGTTGGTTCCCTAGCGCGCGACGGTTGGACAGGATCTGTTCAATGACTTTGTCATCGTAGGTGAAGCTCTTATTAAAGTAGAAAATGCTGTCGAAATCATCCCAAGCACCCATATTGATCGCAGCAGGATGACTTACAGTGACGGCGTTGGCACACTGTTGGTCTTCCGCTCTTATCGGCGACTTGCGAAGGCGTAATATTGCAGCTCAGAATAACGGTATCTTACAGCTGAAATTACGGTTGGAGGTACTCGGTAGTAAAGGTGAATCTGGAGGCGGTGGGTCACATGATACAGCTTTGTTTCATGTTGTTATGGCAGAAAACAACGCCTTTCCGTTTCTGGTCAAAAGGTAAACAACCCACCTAATCCACTACCATCGCTGGTTTGAAAACATCTCCATAACAAGCGATTATCCCACCCTTTGCCTTCATGAGGCTTTCTGATACCACCTGCATTTTTACGACATAATGTCATCCTCGCTAGCAAGAGCCAGGCCGTCTCGGCGCTCTGCTCCCCGAAGGAGTTACGTGATTGAGGAAACATCCGAGTCAGAAGATCCTGGCAATGTGACCCCCACTGCGTCCAACCACAGCGACAACGACGATGACGACGAAGATGAGGAAGAAGAATATACCCCAGTCCCCGCTAAAAGAGCAAAGAGCGCGTCCCGACGGCGAACGATGACTGAAGCGACGACACCCAGCACCGCGCGCAAGGTACGAAAAACCCGACGGTCGACAACAGCAGAACAGGGTGATACCTCAGAAATCAGCAACGCAAACGAGGAAGGCGACTCCGTCGTCCCTAAGGAAGAGGAACCCGAATCTCCTTCACAGAATGCGGCTGCAGCTCTGAAAAGAAAAAGTATGGCTCATCCCCGCAAGAGTCGGGATTCTTCCACGCTCCATCCGGAAAAGTCCTCATTGCCAACTCCAGGGCCCTCAGTCTCGCCCGAACCAGATCCGCGATCGCAAAGAGGTAGCGTGCCTCCGCTCGCCGATATTACCGAATCTGCAGTAAATCAAACACCAGCGAAGCCCTCAGACGACCCGAAGTCGCAGATCTCCATCATCAACCCAAATTCGACGATCCTGGAGAGACCGATGGACATTGTTATGAAGTCACGCAATCTGGCAGCCCCTGTACCAGAAGAGCCATCTGGACCCAAGCCCCGTTTGATTATCACCCACCTGGTTCTGACAAACTTCAAGAGTTACGCAGGGAAACAGATTGTAGGTCCTTTCCATGCGTCATTCTCCTCTGTTGTCGGGCCCAATGGATCCGGCAAATCGAATGTCATCGATTCTTTGCTGTTTGTATTCGGATTTCGAGCAAGCAAAATGCGACAGGGCAAAATATCGGCTCTGATCCACAACTCCGCGAACTTCCCCAATCTACCATTCTGCGAGGTCGAGGTTCACTTTCAGGAAATCCTCGATCTGCCGGGTGGAGAACACGAAGTCGTCCCAGATTCCCAACTGATGATATCCCGCAAAGCATTCAAGAACAATACCAGCAAATATTACATGAATAACAAAGAAACAAACTTCACCGCGGTAACGACTCTGCTTCGAGAGCGAGGTATTGATCTTGATCACAAGCGATTTCTTATCCTTCAGGGCGAAGTCGAGTCGATCGCCCAGATGAAGCCCAAAGCTGCAAATGAACACGAAGACGGACTGCTCGAGTATCTCGAAGACATAATCGGGACGTCCAAATACAAAGCTCCCATTGAGGAGGCAGCAGCTGAATTGGAGCAGCTCAACGATGTGTGTGTTGAGAAAAACAATCGTGTTCAGCACGTCGAGAAGGAAAAGACCGCATTGGAAGACAAGAAGAACAAAGCGTTGGCCTACATCCAGGACGAGAATGAGTTAGCCCAGAAGCAGTCGGCCCTTTACCAAATTTACATCGACGAGTGCGCTGACAACATTCGGGTCACTCAAGAAGCGATCCTGCAGATGCAAGAGCTCTTAAACATGGAGCTCGAGAAGCATGAGGGTAACGAATCTGGTATCAAAGAACTGGAGAAAGCTTACAAGCGTGGTACGCGGGAGTATGAGAATATGGAGAAGGAGCTGCAGGGCTTGATGAAAGAGATGGCAAAGTACGACAAAGAATCAGTCAAGTTCGAAGAGAAGAAGAAATTTTTGTTGGGCAAGCAAAAGAAACTCGAGAAGGCCATGCAGGCTGCTCGTCTTGCCGCGTCCGAGTGCGAAAGCTTAGTGCAGAAACACACCGATGATATCAATAAGAAGACGGCTGAGACTGCCGAGCTTGAAGAGGAGATGAAGGCAGAGGAGGAAGAGCTGTCCACAATTCGAGAGGGTTTGAAGGGAAAGACCCAGGGCCTTTCTGATCAGATAGCTGCTAAGCAGAAGTCCTTGGAGCCATGGGACGAGAAAATCAACAAGAAGCTTTCCGCTATCGCTGTGGCCCAAAGTGAGCTCGACATCCTCCGTGAACGAAGCAATGCAGGGGCTGTGCAACTAGAAGAAGCGCAGTCTAAGGTCACATCTATCGAGGAGACACTGGCAACGAAGCAAACCGATCTTGAAGAGCGGAAGGCTCAAAAAGCTAGTCTCCAAGACGAAGTCGCCAATCTGAAACAGGATCTCAAGAAATTTACCAGCAGAGAGACTGAGGTTCGCGCGCATGTTTCTAGCGCCCGACAGAAGGCCGAGGAGGCCAAAGCTAGCCTGGCAAGCACCCAGAACCGGGGCAGTGTTCTGGCTGGCCTTATGCGTCTCAAGGAGTCAGGTCGTATTGATGGTTTCCATGGCCGCCTTGGTAACCTCGGAACCATAGACGAGAAATACGATGTTGCTATATCGACTGCTTGTCCTGCATTGGACAATATGGTGGTTGACACTGTTGAGGTCGGCCAGCAATGTATAGATTATCTTCGCAAAAATAACCTCGGCCGCGCCAATTTCATTCTGCTCGATCGCCTTCCCCGACGCGACATGTCTCCAATCTTTACTCCTGAGAGTGTACCAAGGTTATTTGACCTGGTGAAGCCCAAGGATCCGAAGTTCGCGCCTGCGTTCTACAGTGTTATGCAGAATACACTGGTCGCCAAAGACCTGGAGCAGGCCAACCGCATTGCCTACGGCGCTAGACGGTGGAGAGTAGTCACTCTTGACGGCCAGTTGATCGACGTGTCAGGAACCATGAGCGGAGGTGGCACTCGAGTGGCAAGAGGTGGCATGTCCTCGAAGCAGGTGGCTGAGGTGAGCCGGGAACAGGTTTCCAAGCTAGAATCCGACCTCGAAGAGATGGAGAGGAAGTTCCAGAACTTCCAGAATAAACAGAAACATGTGGAGGCCGCCATCAGGGAAAAGTCGGAAGAGATCCCACGTGTCGAGACGAAGATTCAGAAGATCATGATAGAGATTGAGAGCGCAAATCGCAGTCTTGTGGATGCTCAGCGGAGAGTCAAGGAATTAAGCGTCGCACACAAGCCATCAAAGGCTGACGCCAACCAGGCTGAGCAGCTTGAGGTTCAAATTGCCGCCCTTGAGGAAGAAATCGAAGATCTTCGAGCCCAGAAGAGCGGAATTGAGGAAGAAATCCAGGTTCTCCAAAACAAAATTATGGAAGTTGGCGGTGTCAGGCTGAGAAGTCAAAAGGCGAAGGTGGATGGGCTAAAGGAACAGATCAGCCTCCTCGCAGAAGAGATTTCTAATGCAGAAATCGGAAAATCCAAGAATGAGAAGCTGATTATGAAGCACCAGAAGGCTCGCGCGGAAGCAGAAAGAGAGCTGGAGCAGGTTGCGGAAGGCCTCGAGAAGCTGAACGCCGACGTCGAGAACCAAGCAAATGATGCATCAGGTTGGAAGCAGGGAGTGGAAGAGGCACAAGAGGTAAGAGTGCAGCAGTCACCAATTGTGAGCAGCCCGACTTACACGTTCCGCGCAGGCCTTGGAGACGAAGAAGGGAGAACTCAAGACACTCAAGCAAGAATTGGACGAGAAAGTGACTGAATTGAACGAAACCCGGGCCACAGAGATTGAGATGCGCAACAAGCTGGAAGAGAACCAGAAGGCATTGACAGAGAACGAGAAGCGCCAGCGATACTGGTCCGAGAAACTCTCGAAACTCACCCTGCAGAACGTGAGCGATCTGGGTGAGGAGCAGCAGCCTACGGAGCTCCAGATGTACACCAAGGATGAGCTCTCGGAAATGAACAAGGAGTCTCTGAAGGCAGTCATTGCCGCCCTTGAGGAAAAGACCCAGAACGCCTCCGTGGACCTGTCTGTAATTGAGGAGTATCGCCGCAGGGCGGCTGAGCATGAGTCTCGCGCCGCTGATTTGGCCACGGCGCTGGCATCTCGTGATAGCGCCAAGGCTCGACTTGACGGTCTCCGATCCGCTCGTCTGAATGGGTTCATGGAGGGATTCGGCATTATCTCCTTGCGTCTGAAGGAAATGTACCAAATGATCACCATGGGAGGTAACGCTGAACTGGAACTGGTCGACTCGCTAGATCCATTCTCGGAGGGTATCTTGTTCTCGGTCATGCCTCCAAAGAAGAGCTGGAAGAATATTGGTAACTTGTCTGGCGGTGAGAAGACGCTGTCTAGTTTGGCGCTCGTCTTTGCGTTGCACCATTACAAGCCCACTCCTCTGTATGTGATGGATGAGATTGATGCTGCTTTGGACTTTAGAAATGTGAGTACATTCATTGCCGCAGGACTGGACAGTTCTCACTAACTTACGTCCTACAGGTCTCCATTGTGGCCTCTTACATCAAAGAGAGGACCAAGAACGCGCAATTCATTGTCATCTCACTGAGAAATAACATGGTAAACAGCAGTCCATCCCCCAAGTTATTCCGTACGCAGAAAGCTAATAACAAGTAGTTCGAGCTTGCCTCCCGACTCGTCGGTGTGTACAAGGTCAGCCATATGACAAAGAGTGTGACGATCGAAAACAAAGACTACATCACAGGGCGATAAGGACGATGGTTTTCATGCGTTTTATCGTTCATGTCTGTTACGGCCGGAAATGGATGTGGATATATTCCTGGTTTTCTTATGTTTGTGGGCTGACAGTGCCTTCGCGGGTCTGTGTCATTGGTAGCAAGCTTATTACGGTGTTATTGGTTGT